CTACACAAAAATCTCTTTGAAACATCTTCTTGCCCTTCCTTCCATTTTCTTTCTCCTCTACCTTCTCCTTGCTAGGAGTGGCATTAAGATTAGGGAAATCCATTTTCATAAGTCAAGGATTACTTCATTCATAACAAATCACATCATTAGAAACCTTAACATTTCTTTGTCATTATCCTTTCTTTGTTAACCTGCATCTGTCTTCCTTTGACTAACTTCTTGCCCGTAAGTGATTAGTGATCCAAGAAGATTATCAATAGAATAAATATTTAAGTCTTTAGACTCTATAATAAGAGTTATTTTAGTATCATAAGCAGTAAGAAAATAATGAAGAATTTTATTAACCATTTTAGCATTTATTAGTTCTCTATCAAATGCATGCAAAGAAGTGACTGTTTGAGTAAATCTTATGTACATTCCAGAAATGGATTCATTGGGTTTCATGCGAAATAATTCATAGTCATGTAACAAGATGTTTAATCTAGATTTCTTTAGTTCCTTATTCCATTTATATGTAATATAAAGCCTATCCCAAATATCCTTTCCACTTTTGTAAGAAGAAACCCACATGTAATTCTCAGACTTAAGTGCACTAAAGAAACTATTTAAATATTTTGCAATTAGTTGTGCTAAGTCACATTTTTTTATAGTCCAATTAGTTAAATGTGTTCCAACTCTAATGCCATCTATAAGTCTTGTTGGCCTAGTATACCCTTCCTTAACTAAAACCCACATACGATAGTCAAGCGATTGAAAAAATGTAGACATTCCTATTTTACAAAATTTAAAAGGATATTATTAAATAATGGAGGTCTAGTGATCGAATACCCTTCAGGTGTGTTTCAATTTCAAAAATTAGTCATTATCATTTTAAAAAAGTATTCTAAACTTATAGTTTTGAAATAAAGCTCTGATACAACTTATTGATTATATATAGGTTGTTAATCCTAAGCAATTATCCCAAGGCTAACCAAAGGGGGCGGGGGGGTTGGGGGTTGAATTGGTAATTTAAAAATTCTCTTGGATTTTTCATAAAAAAAAAATTTAAATTCTATAATAATTTTATTTTCATTTAAAATAAGCTTTTCAACCACAGTAAACAAATTGTAGAAAATAAATGCGAAAATTAAAATGACACATCTTCATTGTGGTTCGATCAAACATGACCTAAATCGACTCCCTGAAGACTCCCTCTTTAGGTATTGCACTATTACTAAAGTGACTCTCCTTTCGCTCCCATTACAAGGTGGAGAAGCCTTTACAACTCATCTCATTCACTAATCCCTGGTATGATAGTGAATTATTGTCCTTTCACACCCTCCATGTGTCGGCAGAGAACCATTATTTGTTTTCACTCTCCAAGTGTCAGAAAAGAACCATTGTCCTTTCACACCCACAAAGTGTAGGCATAGTACTATCGTCTGTTCATACCCTCCAAGTGTTGGTAGAGTACCATATCTTCTTTTAAGATCTTCTCATGAGCAACAAGAACGAAGAAAATAAGAGTTGTAACCAAAAACACGAAGAGATCCTTACCTTTGAGTAACCTTGTGAACCCTTCACATTCCACTTATAAGAAATCTCTCTCAAACACTCTCCTACAATCACTCTTTGAGTTGCCTTAAAAAATCATGAAGAATAACATTTTTCATGCCAGGTTTTAAGGACCTTTTATATGAAAGACACGAAAAACTATCCAGAAAACTAAAATTTTCTATTTTGAGTGTGTACAAATGTATAGTACGATCATATGTTTGTACGTATGAGTAGTTTAAAAACTATTATGCATGAACCTTTTGTTAATCTCTATGAAATATTTTAGTACAAGAGAATTTTCAAGTATGAACTAAGTTCGTATTGTATGAATAGTTAGAAAATCATCATAAGTATGAAAAGGTACCCCACATTTTTGTACTCTAGACATCATTAGTATGAAAGGAAAATTATATAGTATGATTAGTTCAACAAAATTTGGCTTTCGTCAGGAAAAAAAGGGACTTATTAAATTTATACTCTGGATGCCATCTATAAGAACAAGGCATCACACAACACGACTGATTTAGAAAATTTTCAAGTTCATCAAGAAAAAAGGGACCCGTCCAATTCGTACTCTAGATGTCATCTTTACAAACAAGGTATCGTATAGAATGATCAGTTCAAAAAATTTACATGTTCAGCGGGACGAAAAGGGATCCATCCAATTCATACTATGGATATCGTTCGTATGAACAGGATATCGTACAATATGATCAGTTCAGAGGAAACTTTGAATTAGTCTAAATAAATAAGAACCCATCTAATTTGTACTATGGACATCATCTATATGAAGGAACCTTCGTACAGTACGATCGATACTTAGAAATATTTTCTACCTGCAGTTTGTTTAACTCCTTATAGGGGAAAAAATTGAACAAATCATTTCCTATGAAATGACTTCATATAGTACAATCGGTTTAAAATTTTCAAATTTTAAAGACTCACCCAGTGTGTGTGTGTGTGCACAGTTATTCAATTTTAATCACACTATCTCTAACTTAATAAAAATAAAAAAAATATAGACTTCATTTACAATGAACTCTAATCTAATCTGATTTGAAGTTTTCAATAATCTAGAGTATGATTTCCTTGAAATATTAGTATACACAAAAAAAAACAAAAAAAAACATCCAAAACATGTTACAAGAAATTTTAATTAAAATAATAATATTTGGAATCATAAAAAAAATACATGTTGCAGGAATATCAACAATCAAAAAACTAAGTTGTAACTATTTCAACACTTATGATTTTTAAACATTTTCTTGCTCTAATTTCTAATATCCATATAACAAATGAGCAATGATGAACTACAAATAAATAGATCAAATATTTTTCTATATGAAATCCTAAAAATTTTACTTAATAACTTAATGGGAATTTTCCAACAACTTTGCACTCTCTCCAAAAGTGTATTTGATATACATAGCATATATCATGATAGATTATTATAAATTTTAGAGGTCAAGTAGTATATATCATAAAATAAATAGTATTAGCTCCATTACCATAAGATATAAACATTATACATAAAGCATGTATTATAGGATTACGTTGATATGAAATAAAAAAAAAAATTCAATCAAGATTATTGATTATCTTAATCTAATCATAAATTTTATCAATGATTCATTTTTTTATGAATTAGTTGTTATAAAAATTATTGGATTAATTTGTGTATTAGCAACTTTGGCAACAACTTCAACAAAATTGAGGGTTAGCATTGGGCAATATACACCTTTAAAGCCTAAAATGAAAGCTCACAAAATTAAAATAAGGATATATGAAATGTTCTAATGTATAAAATAACATATCAATTAATAGGTCAGTACTCTAATCAGTTTATTATCCTGATTAATTGTAGCCAATATGGTTGGGTGATTTGGTTATGGTAGAGCTACTAAAATTTTAGTCAGTGGTTATTGGATTTATTACCTTCCACAGCTAATTCAATAAACTAGTGATGAGTTGAGTGTGATTTTTAATGCCGACTAAGTTGCATTTTGGCTAATAATGCAAATTTACAACCTGAGATAATGACCATATCGAGCTTAAATCCAATTTACTGTATAATTTGACATTTAGGCCACCAATATATCATGCAATGATTGGAATATGGGACTCATTTAGATTGTTCCATGCACTCAACCTATAGAATTCATCTATATATTCACTTATAGAATGAGCCCCTTACATACAATGCTTATATTTCAGGTAAAGTATTTGCTCAAAAATAATGGGAAGGAAATGTGCCCTCAAAAGCTATTTCATCCTATTCCAACTCCAAATCTATCATTTCCCTTCTCTATGTCTCATTTACAAATTTTGTGCCCACCAATCAATAGCGCCTTCTCTCAACCTGCAAGCAACATACTTCACTTGTTTTTTTCGGTTCAACCTCCATGTACTAAAAGAAGATTTCAATTACATGTTCCTAGTCCTAATATTCTTCGATGAACAGACATAGGTCTAATTTCAAGTGAGAGCATTAGTCCTCTCAAGCCCCCTTAAGTTGCAATTTTATTTCACTATAAAAGCTTAATAACTTTGGAACACTTTGGATAGGTCTTCATTCTCAACGCTTTTGGCCCCACTTATTGAAGCATGAGCTGGAGATTAGAACTTTTTTTTATGGACGAACATAGGTTTGAGAATTATATAATAAAAATGGGTAAACATACACATACATGAAGATTGCAGATAGTGATGGAGTTAAATTTTTTTTTTTTTGTGGTGGCATAATATTTAGAAATAAATTCTTCAAAATTATAAAAATGTAAATCACATAATTGATCATTATGAAACTCTCATTAATTTGTTAGTTGAGAGATTTGGTTATCAATTAGAGGCCATGAGTGCTATGGCTATGTAAGTGATCAGTATGTGAGTTTGCCTTAACTAGACAAATGTCCCCATTATAAGGAAGATTGGATTGGTTACATTAAAGCTTCAATGTGTTAAGCTTTGTGGCTAAATGGGTTGGATAAACTCACAAGCCTAAACTTCTTCCATTTATCGAATAGAAAAAAATTTAAATTGAATCCTAAATGAGAACAAAAAGGATCAAGTTGAAGAAAAATATGTGATGATTTTAGTTTGTAACAGTATGACATTGAACAAAAATCATCAAAAAAAGTCATTTTCATTTTTAAGAATAAGCTCTTTTGTGAAGAAAGGTGACATTTTAACTCTGTTAATAAAAATTCTATCCTCCAACAAATAATTTCATTATTTTCCCTTAGTTATAATAAAATTAAGCACATCTTAACGATTTTGAAGAAGTCAAATAAAGTTGCCTTTATTTGATATTTAATTATTTCATAAAATTTGGATACAATCAAACTTTTTCTTTACCACATTTATTATTCCGCATGCCCCAATTTTATAACCAATATGATGAAACCTTTTCATTCTAGCCACATAAATAAATTGCTTTTAACTCAATCAACTCGATCGATCCATCACTAGCTACAACCATTTATCCCAAATCCAATTTGTAAGTTCCCCACATCATAGACTACATCAAACCTGCGTTGCTGTAAATTACCAATAACCACAAGCTCACTATCATCCTTATTTTCAACGAATGCTAAGCAAGTTTGAGATTTTTTGCCCAACAAAAGTATCCCTGAGGTATCTAAGTTAGTTGTCACTTCACCGTCATAGATCAACAAAATCTGTGGCACCACCACCTGCTCAAAGTTAGTGAGGTCATAACATGTGTCGAGATCAAACAATGGTGGAGCCATTGGGTAATCGGTCATTTTTTCTCGGAAAATGTTACGTAGTGCAGAGTAGACAGTGGGTGGAAGGTGCGTAAATGAGGTTCCAGAGTCCAACAAAGTTCCAGGGCCACTAAATATAGTAGGTGAAAGGGGGAGCCTTTCACCCCCAACAGAAATGGCGGTGAGATTGATGAAGTAGTATGATGGCATTTTTGGGTTGGTTAGCATCGGTGTATACTTCACACCAAGGGCTGCGCTACCTAGTTCAAGATATCCAACTTTGTTGGGCCCTGATGGTAAACAATATGAGAATATATTATTATACAACTGAGTTGTTTGCGAAATAATTGAAAGAGCCCCTCGGCCAAGGCCTAATATTCCATCAACGTGCCCAAAATATCCAGTGTTATTATCTCCACAGCCAAAGTGGATGTTTTGTATATTATCATCAGAGAATTTTAAGGTGTCTTGAATGAGTGAGCCTTTAGAAATAGTACTATCAGTATATCTTTGCTCGTAGAGGCAGGTGAAGGTAGAGGAGCAACCAAATCGCGGGAGTTGGATACAATAGTTAGAGGTGCATTCGATGGTGGTGAAGGTGGAGGATTGGGTTGGGTCAAAAATTGGGTCTTTTTGGTTATAACAGTTAATGCAGGGGAGGCATTGGGTCCAAGTGAGATCACTACCAGTGTCAAAAATAACTGTGAAGAACTTGGTAGGGGTTCCTAGGCCTATGCTAACGATATAGTCAAAGACACCAAGAGAATAATCAATTTTTGCTGGAACTCTTGCAGAAAGGGAGCCGCCAATAACGTTTAGGCCGGTGGTTGCATTGGCGGCCTGGTGTTGGATGTATTCAACACGGGCTTGGTCTTGACGGAAGATATCAACATGTGACGGCTTGTATTGGTGTGTTAAGGATGAGCATGGGCCATGCTGGTGGACCACATTGAGCTTGGAAGGGCTCGTGCCTGTCACAATTTAGAAAACTAATTAATGAAAGTATTAAGTTTTTTTTATTTCTTTTGCATCACATGTAAGCTTGTAATGTCTATCAAATGAGCCTATGCTAGATATCTAACAAATGAGCTTAATTTCTGCTTGAATTATAATTATTCTAATTATTTTATAAAAATAGTCTCTAATATTGTATTAAGAAATTATAAAAATTGCTCACAAACTTTTATTCAGAAAGGAACAGGAGCTGCTCGGCAACAGTGACTTAATGTCAATGACGTGGTGTTCTCCGGCAAGCTCTCGTGCTGATACTAGAAATTTCTTCTCAATTAATAGAAAAAAGAAGAACATATTGAGAAGAATAAAATATGAGAGTAGAGAAGAAGAAATCTCCATGAGAATAGAAATTTGAAGCTCTGCTTAGAATAACTTGGAGGGGTAAACCCAGTGGTGGTGGGGATTTATAGGCGGTGGATTATTGCGCAAAATGGGGTTTTATGTATTTAATTTAGAAGATAAGTAAATCTTATAAGGGAAGATTAGGTCATTGGAGAAGTGATCACTAAGGGTTTTGACCTAGAAAGAAGAAAACAAATGTCTATTGGCTAGGCTTGTTCTTGTATTACCATGCTGCTTTTTTCTCTAGTTTATATTATATATGAAGTTAAAATATTTTTGCATTCCTATCAATCCAAATTTTTTGAAAGGTTTTGGCCATCATTTTTGGCCATATGTTTTCTCAATTAAAAGACATAACAACTAATACTGAGTTTTGAAAAGTTAGAATATGCTTCAAACTTTCCCTTGACATAAAAACTTTTTTTTTTTAAGAAAACAAAATAGCACAAAAGAATTTGATAGTATTATGAGTGAGAATTTATCTTAGACAATAGCTCAATTATCATTTAATTAGAGGATTTTATAGCAAATAATTAGATTTTTACAAAATGGCTAATTTATTTTTGAAAATAAAAAATTTTACTAGAAAATAAAAGAAATTTTTATCTATGTGTAGAATTAGATTATGATGATAAATAAAGTTTTATTATATATGGGACCTAAATTATGTTTGTTGAACTTATTGGGGGGTTGAACAAGTTCTCTATGTGCTTGGGTTCTAGTGTTTTGTACCAAATGGTTTTCCTTTGTTGTATAGCTTTGCGACACTGGATAGTCGAGTTTGAGATGGAAAGAGATAGGAGCTTCGCAGTTCTCTAGATTTCAATGCTATTACAATTTTAGTTACACTAGAGACATAAATTTGATACTGGTGGCACTCCTAACCTGGTATAGTAATGTTGCAAGTGGGGCTGGACATTATGGGGTATCAAAATCTAACATAAGCTAAAACTCGACATAAACCCGACCAAGAAAATATTGAGTTTGGGTTAACTCATTTGTTATACAGTTCAGGGTTAGGTTTGTAATTCCAACCCATTTGTAAGATTGGGTCAGGTTCGAGTTTTCCCAAAAACCCAAAAATAACCTAGATTGACACATTTATAATCCTAAGTAACCTATCTCATCACTTAGTCAATACATTATCGTGTCTTGCTCACTATATCGTCGTGTCACTCGCATCACTCTCTTATCACTACATCATCGTGTTTCCACTTCCAGCTTGCCACCATCTTGCCCTTGCTCCTACTGTCATAGTGGTGCCATCTCATTCGAGTTGCCGCTGCTGCCTGTCGCTGTCATCCCACCGCATTGCCAATGCCTTTTGACGAGCACGTGATTGCTACCCTCATGGATTGAGTAAGATAAACTTTGTAACCCACACGAGTCAAGTTCGTGTTAACAATCCTTACCCATTTCCAAAACTAGGTCGAGAAAGTGTTAACCCGTTTGAATCCGTGTCAAACAGGTTTGACCTAACCGGACCCGTAGACCCATTTTCACACCCTTATTGACAATTTTTAATTCTCATTTCTCTTGTTTCACTTGAAATATTATTGCCCTTGGTCAATTTTTTTGTATAATTATTTATTACGAGTAGAGAATGACATAAATTATAAAGAAAAATAAGTATAGAGTGAGAAAGAAAGAAATATGTACAAATTCTGCCAATTTTTATAGTAAATTTCTTAGTGTTTTGTGTCTCTAGTGTTTTTTTCTTATTTCATATTTTTTGAGTTTAAATCCAGACATTTTTTCAGCTGCATTTACTCTTTCTTGTTTGTAAATGTTGTATGGGTCACTTTTCCTACTCAATCTTGTGAATGGAAATTTTTCTTAAAAAAATGCCTATTTATGTTGGAAAGGGCTAGTTGTAAATAGAAATTGTTAATGCACTTAATGAAATTCACAGAAATAGAGTTTGTCACATAGATAGAAATCTGATGCAATATTGTAACTTAAAATATCTACAAAAAAAAAAACACAAATTGTAGTGGAGATTTAAGATACTTAGTTTTATTGCACATGCATTAAATTGATGTGAATAAAAATATAAATATAAGAATTCATTTTAAAAAAATTTAAATTAATTTTTCTTTGTTAAAAGATAAAATTATTAATTTTAATACGATAAAAAATTCTAGTTATTAATTATATTAGTGATAAATAATAAATTTTTTTTAACTTTGATCAAAAGAAATGAGTGCAAAATATTTCAAAAAAGAGAATATATATTTACAAAATTCTAAAATTTTCTTAGCATCGATCAAAAGAGTGGATAAAAAATAATCTCCTAAATATTTTAAATAAAAATAATCATTAATTAGGAAACGAGCTATTCCATTGTTCAAGTGACAAAAGAACAAATTATTGAGAACAGACAGATTATGCACTCATAGATAGTTGAAAATGTTGAAAACTTATAAAGTAGTAAATTAGCATTAAAAATAATAGCTAAGTCCAAATTCTAATTATCAAAAGGATCGACATAATATATTGTGTTATGGAACAAAGTGAGGATGGTCAGGGCAAATTAAATTCTCAAATACTACAATTTAGAAAATTTGTATTTTTTTTTATTGAATCTTGGAAGGAAACATCCAATATAGCTTTGGAAAATTAAAAAAAAAAAAAAAAACAAGTCAACTAAATGAGACAAAATGTAATGAAAATTTACTCTTGAGAGAGGCCTTATTGAAAAGAAATGATAATAAGATTTCATCCTTCTATTACTTTACATGTTTGTTCTTACTCAATTATTAGAGGAATGAGTCAAAAGACTGTTCAGTAGTTCCACAATTGGCAGGTAACAATGATCTGGCAAAATTAATAATTGAAAGTATCTCAATAAATAAATAATTTTCTCCAAATTACATATTACACTATAACAAAAGATTAATACATAAGAATTGATCATTTCAACATATAACAAATCAATCATTATTAAATTTTTAAATAAACTAAACATATAGATATAATACATTTGTCAATTCATAGTATAACATACAAGCCCATCCTCTCATCAGCTCCACTTTTGTAAATGGCAAATCATTATCAGAATGACAATAGCTTTATATGTTAATTAAAAAAAATGATCATATTCATATGCAACAACATCATACAAATAGCTAGAGTTCACAAGGATGAGTTGATTCCATTATTAGCTATTAGCTAACGACAAAAAGGGTATTAGATCAGAAGATATCTAAAATAAAATAAGTAATACTGGAACAAAAAATTCATTAGAATCATAAATAATATAATTACCAAAAAACAACCACGATGAAATCATAATCTAAATGCCTAGTAAAACTCTTTATAACTTTATTGAAAACCCACCAACTATCGAGGGACTCATAAGATAATTATAAATTTACATAAAAATTTAACATCAAGTTCTATAAATTATGTATACGTTATCAATAAACTTACACAATATCATCATAACAAATGATTGTTTTGATAAGCAAGACATATTTTCTAAGTGTAATGTTTAAATATGAAGAAAATTTCTTAGAACTTAAGGTTTTAAGAATTAGCAAAACATAATATAAGTATGTAATTTTTAAATTTAATGAAGGAAAAAAATTTTATCAAATGTTATTTTTGGAAGATTAATTGACACCTATATTTTTGGACGATTACTATCTATACAGGTTAAATTGCTAAAGTTAGCCATCAAAATTAATAATAAAATTTCCTCAATGGAATTTGAAGGAAAAAAAAAATCATTTAAGCATCATATATAAATTAATTACACTTAATCATTATATCTCTATTTCATATATGAAGCCAAGAAAAATTTATAGAACATGTTAATATTTTTTCCATATAATATAAAAATTATATTATGTTACCAATTTCATAAATATTTTATTTTTCTTTTGGCTTTTATTATCTATATAGTCCTCGTATGGACTAACCATGAGTTAATTAGGTTTTGGAGTTTTATAATCCTTACATGCTAGGTGGTTACAACATGGACATAATGATTGGCTTGCTTAGAAATTGTAATGAAATACATGACAATTGTAATTTTATTAATCATCATGATAGAACTTATCATATGATGACATTATTCTCCAATCATTTTTGGAATTATTAAAAATAAATATTTTATGCATGCAACCTCATAAAAGAAGTTACTAGAAATAATGACTATAATGAGATGCTATACAAACTTTTATATTGTTTACCAATATTTCTTTAGTTATTTATATTTTGCCTACCCATGGAAGATCAAATCATGAGATGAACTTGGTTAGAAAGAGCTAAAATAGTCCTTTAAGAGGGTAGGATTAGCAAAGTTAGGGTTTTCTAGTCTATGGAATAATATGCCTTTCATCCTTGCTTGAACATAACCAAATGAAGCTGCATCCTGCAACATTTCATTCATCATCCTTTCCAAGCCAAATATCGAGCTTTAAATTCTACTAGCAAGTTCTGGTAGAGATGGTGTGGGTATTGATATCTCAACAAACCTAACATGGGATTCAGAAGTAAAATTAAAATCTAGCACTGAAATACTTGAGATTCGCATGAGATAGCTCAATTGTATGTAATAGTTATAAAAAAAGTAATAGAATTATCACTAAGAAGTTTATATATAATTGCTAAATGTTAACATGAAAATCTTTTTTCTTTGCCAGAAAGAACTTCTAATAAAATTGAAAATGATAGCTTTTATCTACTTAAAAAAAAAGAAGATATCACAACTGATTACTATATGAATTGTTCTATAAATTCCTATAAGATTAGCTTGTTTACTTTCTTACAGAAGGTGGTTGCATTACTTGGTGTAGTGGATGGAACTAAATGAGACTATTATAAAAGTCACATTATAGAGTGTATTGATTTACAATCCATCTAATGGGTGGGGCAAGCATAGGGTTTTAAATTCATTAATGACATACATTATATAGACCCATAATTGAATTATTGGTCTGATGTTTTTGGTATGTTATCATTTGATATAATTAATTGGGGTGGGTTAGGTGGTTCCATTTATGGTGTTCTAAGATACTATGAGATTGATTGGTAAAAGCGCCTTGAAAGATAGATAATTCTTTTAAAATAATCTTACAAATTTCCTCAACTTCCTAGAGTAAACCAATCAAGGAATAGTTATTATTCGACCCATCAAAAGTGATATGATTAGTTCATTAGAGCTAATGGAGGTAATAGGAGAAAGCCAATTATTTATTTCCTATTATTTCTCAAATATCTTATATTGGAGAGAGTTTAAACTTCAATTTAAAAATAGATATAATTTTCTTAAATATGAAGATCACTTGATGAGAGTTATTATAGATTGACCTTAAAAATATCTATATTATATAGATGACAATGAAGATTACCCCATGTCTTTTCAAGACATACGAAGATCGACAAGGAGGGTTATTATGTCCATATAATTATATTTGACAATTTGAATATTTATATTATAAGTGGGAGGAACCTCTATTCTATCTATGATGATGCGAGAATCTTAATATGTGTAGCATAATACTTCAAATTTATTAACATCAAATAAAATTTAAGACGCTATCTGCAAAGTACGGTAATGATAAATTTGCTCTCAATTGGGTCTTTATTGATGTTAATAAATTGGGATAGAATTGGGCCTTTAAGAGCTAAATTGGCTCTCAATTTTATTTCAAATCCATCATCCTTATTGAATAAGACGCTATCTGCAAAGTACGGTAATGATATTTGGGAAGGTGGACATAGATGCTATTCTTCTTCTACTTGGAAAATTATTTTGAATGGATCTAAGCACTTATACCCTCTCTTGAGATAGAAGATTTGTAATGGTAAAGATGTTAATGCTATGAATGATGTTTGGATTATGGATAGATGCATAAATAAGTGGCCTACTTTTACATCCATAATAGACCAACAATATCAAAACATTTTAGCATTCATTATAAATGGTGAATGGAATGTAGACTATTTAAAACAATGCTTTAGTTTACAGCTAGTTTCTCTGACTTGTCAAATTCCAATATTCTCAAATTTAGATAGTGATTTCTTGGAATTTATTTCTAAATGTTCGGGGAAATCTGTGGCTGCTTTGGCTTATGAAAATTCTAGAGAAAATGACATGGATAATTGTAACTGGACCTGGACTAAAAGTCTAAAACTATGACCTCAAGTGGAGTTATTTTGGTGGCGTCTTTACAATAATGCTTTACCTTCTAAATGCTTTCTTCATCATAGAGGCATTATTGAAGATAATGAATGCCCGAGATGTTGTAAAAACAAGGAAGACTCGGAACATATTGTTGTTAAGTGTGGTATTATCAAAAATGTTTGTGAAAAACTAAAGAAATTGAGTTTTCAGCTGCCTGCATTTAATTCTTGGGATAATTTCCTAAAAGAACTAATGATGCTATTCTTATTGGTTCTAGGAGGTATTTTCAGAGATGATAAAGGAAGATTTTATGGAGCTTTTGGTTTTAGTATTAATCATTTGGATATTGCTCAAGCTGAAATACATTCTATTCTTTCCCTAAGAAGATACGTTCAAGACTGGTTGCTTGATGCTAAAGGCTTCATGATTGAAGGTGATAATCGCCATGTTATTACTCTATTTCAAAGATCTCTTCAAAATAATTCCATTTCAGAAGAATATCTAAATCCTAAGGATTTATATTTTCTTAAAGATTTCAAGCAAGTTATTTTTTCTTATGCTAGTAGAGATTGTAATAAGTTAGCCGATATGTGTGCTAACATTGCTCTTACTTTAGATTTTTTTTGGAAAGATCTGAATGAGATTAGTATCCCTCCTTCTTTTCTTCATCTGTTGAAGGAGTTTATTTGTAAGTAGTTCTTTTAATAAAAATTTATGCTCTTTGCATTTTCTCACAACACTTTTGACTTCATTCCGAGCTTTTATGATTCCATCCATATTTATGGTGGATATTATAAAATTGGTCTTGGAAGTACATGCAAAAATATCTGTGAGGAGTCATGTGTTAAATTTACTAATTCAGGGGAAATAGTTTTCTAATGAATGTCCATCAAAATGAGTAAAAATGATATCATGCAGTTTGACCTTCATTATTTGAGTTCTTAACATTTTTATTCACTTGAGTAGTTGATTTTGTGGATGTTGATGAAAATGCCTATGAATGTATTCAATGGGTGTAATTAGGAGGTTGAAGTTGATTATTAGAATATTGAGGTCAGTGTGTAGTGTGATATCAATCACTTGGTTGTAACTATTTTCTTGATTGGAGATGTCAAGTAGTCTCTTGATGCTGGTTCTTTGCTTTGTAGTCAAAGTGTCAACAAATCGCTTATAGTAGATGATGATAGTCTCATATACTGAAATTTTTATGTAGATTCATTCTAAACAAATAAATTTTCGCTAAAGGAAAAAAAATTTATTTTTGGTGTCCCTTTACCACCGAAAAAAATCATAAATTTCCTAGAAAAAATAGCTTTCCGACAGATTTCTTTTTCTGAGTAAAATGCTGCATTTTGAGCTGAATTACCTATGAATATTTTTATGGTAATTCTTGCTAAATTTTCCTCTAAAATTTGCAAATACCTATCCATTATAATTTTGTTGGTAATATCTGTTCAAAGTTTTTATGACCAACCATAAAAAACTTGGATGGCACCTACTGCCAAAAATTATAGCAGCACCTGCTTTGGGTTTCCTATCATTAAATCTGGTAGATAATGATCACAAGAAATAAATCGCATAACTCATTGTATTGTTATCATATTAGATATATGTGTGGGATTCCAGGGAGATAATCTACTAGATTTTAGAGAGAGAGAGAGAGAAGCTATTTTTCAAATTTTGATTTGACGGGAGTCAATTTTTCGATGATGGAAGATGATCACGGTCCTTTATAAGGCATAGGTCTAAGGGGTGATTGTCGATTTACATTTGATTCTACTGTGGTTCAATAATAATTCTTTTTTCAATAATTCTCCACCTACGTTTAGAGTAGACGCTTCGAGGGATTTGGCCAAGTCTGCTAACAATGGAGTTCATATTAGCTCAAACTATGATAAATCTCTAACTATTAAAGAACGTGGTATGTTAAATGTTAAATCTATTCTGCTAACTTGAAAAGGGAAGAATGTGATGATTTGTGAAGAAATTCTGAAGGTGGATTTTCAAAAATAGTAGAATTTTAATTATGGAGCCTTATCTGCAGTTAATTTTAAAGGAGTAGAGGCTTTTGGCGATATGGGGGAACCTAATGGGGATATTTTTGATATGCCAAATCCTTAAAATAATGGTGAGATGGAAGTGGATGGAGATGCATAGGCGGTTTAAAAATGTGCCTATGGAGAAAGAGAATGTTTATTCCGAATGTTGATGGTGTTGGGGAAATATTACTGGAAGAGTCGATAGGCAATGACCTATCAAATGTGTGGTACAAGAATTCTCATAGAAGGATTGATGATCAGGATTTTGGAAACTTCCTTTTAGAAGATGGTGTGGCAGTCAAGTTGTTTCAGAAGAATGTATTGGAGAACACTAAAAAGCTACAAAATGCCTTGGTGGTTAAAGTCTTCAGAGATAACATTCCTCAGTATATAATAAATGCTTATCTAAAAAGATAATATTCTCAAATAAATAAATAAATTCTTACACGGCTTGGTAAGGGTTGGAGTTTGTGTGCTTTTGATGATGAGTAGTCGGTGGATTTGGTGCTTACTAATGGACATTGGTATGTTAAGGGGAACATCACTGATGTTGATAAATGGTAACTGGCATCCTCCCTTAATTCTTTGAAGGGTTTGTCTGCTTTAATATGGATAATAATGACCAATTTGTTGTTGTAGTGCTGGGATGCTACTAATGTTTGGGTAGAGGGAAACTCAGAAAGGTTCTTCCAGAAAATTAATTACGAGAGGATTCCTAATCTCTATTTCAATAGTGGTAAGCTTAGGCATGACATTAGTTGCTGTTCAGAGAAGGTATCTGGCGCTGTTCAAGGTGGGTTAAAGGAAGTGGAGTGATAAGTGAAGGAACCGGGTAGACCTAGTGGGGTCTCGGTCAATAATTTGGTAGAGGATGTGGCTGGGTTATCTAAGGAAGACGGTAATTTTTGTGGGCCATGGTTATATGTATCTTATGGTAGGAATGTTCTAAGGGATGATGGCTTCCGTGGGAGGAAAGTTGGGTGGAAGAAATTTTTTAGCAAGGATCCTAAGGATGTTGCTAAAAGTTCTTCTTTAAAAAAAAGGAGTAATGAAGATTAGTAAGGCTAAAAATAGAACAGGTGGTGTAGCCAAGGAGGATACATTTACTATCATTGGTGGTTCTAAATAGGATGTTAATATCAATTTAAAGAAGGATTTTGCTGCAGAAAAGGTATCTTTGTATAAAGGAAGAAACAAGTTTGCAGTTCGCAAGGATTTGGTGGAAGA